GATAACAAATAGTTTTTCTATAGTTATATTTCCCCTAAGAAACCATTTATAAAAATATTTTATTTAAGGTCAAACGATTGTATGTGAAAAGGGGATTCACAAGTTATAAGTAGATGTCTGAGCAGTACTTAGGGCTTTGTTGACCTATGAATAACTTGAACCTGTTGGTTCTATATAAGCATTCACACACATACATACAAAAGCCTGATAACTAGTGACTTTCTATAGATTGTCTCACTTAATTTAAACCAAGAAAATCTTATCTAATTAACTATCCAAATATTTTAAAAGAAATTGAACAGGAACCAACTTACAGACTCAGATTAGAACTGCACAGAATGGAGTAGAGAACTCCCATTTCCCAATTTTCACAAATTTTGTAATTCTTAATTTGTTTTTGGTTGAAAGACACTCAATGCATACTTATTGACTTCCTACTTTATAAGGCTCTCTCCAACCCATTTTTAAGACAACTTTCAGACTCACATTCTAACTTCCACCTAAACCAAACTTTTAAGCTTTTAAATTCATTTTCAATTAATAATATCAAAATGCCAACTATTAAAAACAAGACAAAAACTAAACTAAATACCTCTCTCAGGGACCCACAGGTGGTCACTGCAACATCTTTCAGATCTATTTTGGGATCACTCCTTACAAAATTCTTCCCTACAGTCTCCACCTGAGGTAAGTCCTTATAGTTGTGTGTGTGTGTTTAGAGAGAAGAAACTCATGAGCAGCACAAAGAATTCTCATATACCTTGACCCATATTCTTCAACTGTTAACACTTAGCACTTGATTATCATCCTTTCTTCCTGAGCCCCCATTTATTATCATAAATTCTTCTCAGGTTACTTTAGAGCAAGTTGCTGATATAATACTTTATCACCTTCATACTATGAAATATAGTTCCCCAAGAAAGCATATTTTCCTACATAACTACTCTATATTTCAAGTGAGGGAATCATCCTTGACAGAACACCACCATCCAAGTGGCAAAGCTAATGCAAGTTCTTTAGTTCTCTCATGTCTTTTGGTACCAGGACATCATGGAACACATGCTGCATTAAGCAGTCATGAGTCTTTACACTTTTCTAAGCAGAAACAATTCCCATTATTCCTATGTATATCTTTAGCTATCATTCCCTCAATAGTTGTAAGGAGAATAAGCTTTATAATTATAGGCTGACTCAGGTATTGTCTTCATGACCTACACTTGGGTCATATTTTCTTAATAGGAAGGAATATCACACAGAAGGTATGATGCTCTTTTTGGTGTATCACATCTAAGGGCACAGGATGCTGACTCACCCACTGCTGGTGATGTTAGCCTTTATAATCTGTATTGGTATCTGCAAGATTTCTATACCTAATAAGGCCATAATTTTCTTTCTGCAACTGATTAGAGCTATTCTAAGATTGCCAGTATCTTATTCCTCACCAGTCCTTTGTTAACCTCCACAGCTAATCTCTAACCACTGAAATACTTGCCTGTCACTGCCTACTTATTGACTGGCATTTTACTGTAAGAAAGCCATCCTTAGTTATCTACTTACTCACTCATCGATATGTATTTTATTTAATGGGTTATAATCTGTTAACTATTCCTGTGTATGTTGTGGTTGTGTGTGGCATATGTTGTATGTATTTGTGTGTGTGCATATGTGAGAGTGGATGTGCATCCTTGAGTGTGGTGTGTGCGGTTTGTGTGTGTGTGTGTGTGTGTGTGTGTGTGTGTGTGTAGGACAGAGGTTGATGTCAGGTGTCTTTTTTTAATTGATCTCTACCTTATTCTTAAAATTTTATTTATTATTTACTTAAATTTTATATGTATGAGTGTGAGTGTTTTGCCTGCATGTACATAAGTGCACCCATGTTGTGCAATGCCTGTAGAGGCCAGAAGAGGATATTAGGACATCAGCTCCCCTGTAACTGGAGTTTTGGATTGTTGTTAGCTGCTGGTGGTGGGAACTGAAACTGGGTCCTCTGCAAGAGCATCTAGTTAAACCAAGAAGAGAGTTTAAAAAGACCCATAACATGTAAGGAAATTGAAACAGTAATACAAAACCTCCTGACTAGAAAACACCCAGGCCCAGATGGATTCACAGTAGAATTCAGAAGATCTATATACAGTACTACTTAAATTATTCAGATAGAAACAAAAGAACTCCAAATTCCTTCTATGAAGCCAGAATTACTCTAATACCAAAACCAGGTAAAGATGCAACCAAAAAAGAAAACTTTAGATGCATATCCTTAATGAACATAGACGCAAAACTTCCCCCCAAAATACAAACTTTATACAAACACACAACAAAAAGATCATCCACCATGATCAAGTCAGCTTTGTTCCAGAGATGCAGGGATGGTTCAACACATGTAAGTCAATAAACATCATAAATTATATAAATGGACTCAGAGACAAAAAACACACGGTCATCTCAGTAGATGGAGAAGGCCTTTGACAAAATTCAACATACATTTATGTTAAAAGTCCTAGAGGGAATGGGACTGGAGGGAACATACCAAAACATAATTGAAGCTATACAACAAATCCACAGCCAACATCATTCTAAGCAGAGAAAAACTGGAAGCATTCCCATTAAAATCCAGTTCAGAGAAAGCTGTCCACTATCTCTGCTCCTTTTTAATATACTGCCTGAAACTCTTGCTAAAACAATAAGACAAGGGAAGGAAATTAAAGCAAAACTATCAGAAAAGAAGAGATCAAATTATCCCTTTTTGCAGATAACATGATATTATACCTAAGAGATGTCAAAGGTTCCACCAGAAAACTTCTAGATGTGATTAATATTTGTGGCAGATTATAAAATTAATCTACAAAATCAGTATCCTTTCTATATACCAATAACAAGCAATTGGAGAAAGAGTACATGAAAACCCTCAGTTCACAATAGCCTAGAAAAAATAAAATATCTTGAAATAAACCTGACCAGAGACATCAAAGAACTCTACAAAGAAAATTTTAAATGTTTTTTAAAAATAAATAATTTATTGAGAATTTCATACATGCATGTAAGGTGTTTTGATCAAATTCATGCCCACTTCCTCCCCTCCAAATCCTCCCATATCTCCCCATCCTTTTTTTCTGATACCTTCATGTGCTCTTTCTTCTTGATTTATTTTTTTTTATGGGGCTTTTGGCAAGTCTAACATCCCCCCTCAAGAGGTAACCCTAAAATCTTTAAAGGATTAGATAAAAGCTCCCAAATATTTTCAACATTTTGGTCTTTGGAAAGGAGTAGGTTCCTAAGAGGCCCCAAACTGGCTACTTTTCTTTGGGGTCTCTTTACCCTAATCGCCTAGCCAATTCCTACCTCCTATTCTTATCACACCATCCTCTGAAGAGGTTACCCAAATTGCCAACAGGGAATTGGGATGCAGACCACTCTGGCTTCTGCCATGCTGAACAGGGTCGCAGGGTGAGGCGATTTGAGTACCCCTTCAGTGGGCTATTTAAAAGACTCCCAAGTTGCATAACTCTTATCTCAAGGAGGAAAAAGAGAGTCTTTGAATCATGAATAGGAGATATGAAGGAGAAGTAAAGGCCAGAGCAATTAGCATTACAAGTTCTAGACAGGGAACTAGAAAAAAGTCAGAACAGGGCAATTTTCAAATGTTCATATGAGAGTCCACTGGAATTTCTTGACAAGGGCTTCCAAAAGCATCCCTCTATTGGGTTCCTCCTCATTTTTCTTTTGTCTTCCAAGGCTGGACTCTAGAGTGATGGATTCAGGATTTGCTTTCAGGTATTTTGATAGCTATTGGAGTAGTTTGAATCAGTATCAGTTCCATCTCAAAGGCTTCTAGAGAGGGGGAGAAAACAAATTTATCCATCATTTTGGAATAATAGCTGGTTGTCTCCCTTAAATCTTTAAAGGAACAGATTGAAGAAGACACCAAAAGATGGAAGGACC